AAAAATTTAAAAATTAAAAAATATTGACAGAAAATTATCAAAGAAAAGTTTTTAGTCAGATTTCCAAGTATTATGAGTTCTTTCTGGAAAGAGAAGTTATAATTAGTAAGTTCTAAGAATCTAGAGTCACTGCTTAATGGAGACATGCACTAATAAAACCAAAGGGTCCCACAGTAGTCATTAAACATACAACTTTAAATAACTGACTTCATTACTTTTCATCTAAATTTCTCCATCTATAAAACAGACAAATTTTATAAGGCTCCTGGGTAAATCTATGAAATATATGTGATATTACATTATTTTTAATTCTGTAATGCCACTCTGAACTTTTCAAACTAAAAACAAAACCAACTCTGTGATTTATGCATTCAGCAAGAGTTGAACTAAATACTTTTAAGTACCCTCACGTGTGCGAAATTCTACAAGATTCTACAACTATGACTACAAAAGAAAATAATCCAAATGTAGCAAAATACAACTAAGTAAAAAGATATGTACAGAAAATCAGAGTATCATTCAGTTACTGACCATCGTTTTTTAAGCTGGCATAAGTTTTGAATGTTCCCATGATTAAGAATAAATAGCAAACTTGTATCTTTGATAAGCTTACTGCAAATTTTAATATATTTGTGGATATTAACAAGCTTTTTAAAATGTCATGAGGTTTATATTAATTAAGCTGATACACTGTCAGAGTATATGTAGGTAACACACCTGTAAACTGTTTGTATTTTGCGCCCATTTCATTTTTTGCTTCAAAAGAGGCTGGCCGACCTAAAAAACACTTCAGTTTTTCCTGGAAAATCTGTCCTGGAGTCAAATTTATTGGTAAATTTAGACCCTTTTTGTTGGACCTGAAATCACATCAAGTTAAGAGAAATGAACCCAAATTTTAAAAAAGAAAATATTAACACACTAAGAACTAAACATGAAATCTTAAACAGTGAAATTCACTTTCCTTATTCATCCTCTATTTTAAAAAGAAATAATTAGGGGAAAAAAAAGAAATAATTGAGGAAATAAGGCACTGAGGAGATTTTTAAGGCTCTCCATGATTATGATACTAATACATCATCCCATCATTATTTCCCAATGCTACCCTACAGTCTACTCTATCCACACTGCACCAAACTTGTCTTTTGCCATATGCCTTTGCTCATGTGTGGAATGTTCTCCCTCCCTACAGCTACTCTATTTGTCAAGATCCTGTCTTCCCTTCAATGCCCATCTCAAATGATATCTCCTACATAAAGTATTTCCTGTCCTATGCCCACTTCATACTATTGCTCTCTCCACTGCACAACTGGCACTTTTCTTACCACACTATCTAAATTATAATAATGTTTTGTCCTAATTTTTATATTAAACTATAAATGCCTTCAATATGAAGACTATGTGCCATTTAAGTTTATATCTACTAAAACACCTGGCAGAGAGCTTGGTAAAGAAAGGTTACTTAATAAATAAATATATGTTGAATTATTGAACTGAAAAATATCAAAGATACAGCAATACCATAATATTCAAAAAAGTTAAAATACAGGTATTAGATTGATTAGCTTAAAATTCAAATCCTACTCAAGACAGACAAACTCTCCCATTGACTAAAAGCCTTTTGAGGGCATTACTAACAAATGTGCTAAATAAAAGTTTTTTGTTTTTGGTTTTTTTTAAGTTTTAACACAAGAAAGCTGCTGAGCTGTCCAACATAGTAGCCACTAGCTGCATATTTAGCTATTTAAATTTAAATTTAAATTAGATTGAAAACTCAGTTCCTTGGTCTTACCAGCCACATTTTAAGTGCTCAGTAGCTGCATGTGACTGACAGCTATCATACTGGATTGCACATATAGAACTTTTCCAACACTGAAAACAATTTTATTGGATACTGCTAGACTAAGGATTCCACAAAATGTATAAATGCCAGCAATGAAATAAAAAAATAGTTAGATGATACTATGATACTATTTCTTAATCTAAGTCTGCCTAAATATACGTACCTTATGAAATTTCTATCATGTTTACAGAACAGTTGGAAAGCCACACCAATGGAAACAGATGTCTTCCAGTCTCCAAGTTTATGTGCCAACCACACAGCCTCTGGAACTAGGCCTCCAATAAGTAATAATTCAAAGGCATATTCAACTGTCCACACATCAGAAAGATTCTGATCTCTTACAACACTAGCCACTTCAGAGTGTTGTAGAGGAATAAGTCGAAGGCACTGTTCTATGAGTAAATAAAAGAAAATGAATATTACAATTACATTTATCAGAACTCACTCCTCACACAGTTACATCTCTCTCTCCTTTTTTTTTTAAGATTTTATTTTTTAAGTAATCTCTACACTGAATGTGGGGCTGAAACTTACAAACCCAAGATCAAGAGTCACATGCTCCACTGACTGAGCCAGCCAGGAGCCCCTATCTCTTTAATTAGTATTTTCTACACAAAATCACAACAAGAAAGATGGCTTAAGATAGGGGTGCCTGGGTGGCTCAGCTGGTTAAGCATCTCACTTTTGCTCAGATCATGATTTCAGGGCTCCACCCTTCAGCAGGGAGTCTGCTTCCCACCTCTCTCTCCCTCTCCCCCTGCCTATCCCCTGCTCATGCTCTTTCTCTCTCAAATAAATAAATAAAATCTTTTAAAAAATGGTTTAGGGGCACCTGGGTGGCTCAGTCATTAAGCGTCTGCCTTCGGCTCAGGTCATGATCTGGGGTCCTGGGATGGAGCCCCGCATCGGGCTCCCTGCTCAGCAGGAAGCCTGCTTCTCCCTCTCCCATTCCCCCTGCTTGTGTTCCCTCTCTCGCTGTGTCTCTCTCTG